CATCCAAGACCTAGGTGTCTTCTCTTGCAGGAAAATGTAGTGTTACCTTATCACCATGGGAACACTGATAACTAGAACATACACCTGAAACCTGTCTCTAACAGGTTCTGCCTTTTCACATTGCCCATGGAACAACTAGGATATTGAAAATTTGAGGGAAAACATCTTTCCTGTGAGGGTGACTGAGCACTGGCACAGGTTGCCCAGAGAGGTTGTGGAGTCTCCTTCCCTGGAGATATTCAAAACCCGCCTGAACACGATCCTGGGAAATATGCTCTAGAGGACCCTGCTTGAGCAGGGAGGTTGGACTAGATGATCTCCAGAGGTCCCTTCCAACCTCAACCATTCTGTGATTCTGTGAAAATAAGTCACAACTCATCTTTAGAACTACAGTTACAGGAGGAATAACATCTGTAATAGCACGAGGCCAAGGTCTGATAGTAGGCAATAATGTTACACTAACCCTAAGAGCTAAAGTAAACAATGAGTACAACATAATAATATATGGTAACTTTTCTGTAAAAAACAGTAATAATCAATGGGCAAGTCAATGTAAATGGACAAAATTGTTACCACTTGTTCCTGATTGTGTATCTTAGAAAACATCGCAAACAACCTCTTAACAAAAGTACTCCCCGCTTAATGCAATTTCATGATGGACGAGAGCCTATGATTATGGCTTCAAAATTAATGGCAATTAATGTACATTTGAACCTGACCAATGTGCGCACTAGTGCATGAAATGAAAATAAAATAGTTTTCACTGTGATTTATTTGTATACTTTTGGAAAGCTACTAAGCATATATGAAGAGCAGAAAGATGTCCAAAGCATTTAAAGTTATCAAAAGTTAGACATTAATCATAACACAGTGCCCTGTGCTACCTAGAATTCTCTTCAAATGTTACCAAAGGAGATTATATATTTTTTAAAATTTCCAGTGCCATTGCAAATTATTCTTGCATATATTCTCATATTATTGTGGAAGTAAAGTATGTACACACCCAAACAGTGGCATCTTATAAATTTTGAAGAATCACATAAAGAAGGATTAGATCATCTCCTTACCCAACAAGTTAATTCAGTCTACAAAGGAAGATAGAAGAAAGCTGTTGTGAAGCATAGCATATGTAGCCTGATCATCATTAGCAGCTTGTACAAATGGTATTCCAGATGTCTATCTGTTCAAGACGGCCCAAGGCAATAATTTTGATCAATTCTAATGTGATAAAATGGTGCAGGGAAAATGTGCAGAAATGTGTTTACGTCAGCCTTTATTTAAACTGTTGTTTGCTTCCAAAGAACCTTAGGAAATACTAATGAGACATGAGTTTCGACAATTTCCTCGTCAAAGCAAAGACGCTTTTCCTTAGTCTGAAGCAGCTTGTCGTTCAAGTAGCTTGCTGGATAAATGTCACTTGGCACACCAATTGGCAAATCACCTGTTCAAAGAACTTTGCTGCAGTCAAGTACTGATCCAGGGCAAGTTCAAACATTCACCTGCCTGTTTTTGGACACCTGCACAACTTTCTTGTACAACACTGCAACATGGCAGCTTTTCTTTTTTTTTTTTTTTTTTTGCTTAAGACCTAAGAGACTAAAGGGATGCAAGAACTTTCAGTTGATTGTAAGATCATGAGAGCCATAAATCCTTTAGACTGGGCAAGCAGCAGATCAGTCTTCTAATCTTTACCTACAAGCAAACTTTGCAGAGTACTGAATTCCATTGTTGGTCTGTTGGTCTTTACAGTCCTCAAATTTTATGTTTTATTAACCTTGACAGCATTTCCTTTCATAAACATAGAAGAGTTCTATCTGCATGTCCTTATACCTCCCAGAATATCAAATAACAAAAACATGCCTCTATACAATCAAGTTGTAGGATACTTTTTATTGTTGTGGGTGATCAACTGCAAAAAGATGGACAACTAAATATCTTAAAGTATCCTAATTTTTACTGATAAAAAGTAAAACAGTTCAATACAGTTCTTTTAATTTTAAGAATATGTACACTAGCATTTGAAAAGTATAATTCCAGTGCACTGTTATTTAAATTAAGATATTTAGAAACTTGCATACACATTTCTTAAAATTAATATTTTCTATTTTTTTAATCAGTTGGGTAAAGCAAATGTGGCTTATAAAACAGGGAAAGAAGAAGGATGTAGGGGTCAGATTATAAGCTTAAAATTGAACATATACACATAAAAATCATATCCCAGAGTAATTTCAAAAAATGTGTAACAGCATGACAGAACATATGGACTTAATGCTTGACAGTTGTTTGATGGTGTCACATGACATAAATAATTAATTGCCATATCAAAGAGATTCTTTCTGTTTAAATTAACATTTATTCCCACTAAGATTAGTCTGAAACTATGGCAAGATAACCTGCAAGAACAGCAGATGATAATTCTGCATCCGTTTCCTCCAAACCTCCCTTCCTGAAGACTGGCAACTTGCTGCTTCATCTGAATGTAATAATAGCAAACTTAGCAGCAAAGTTACTGACTGACACATAATCTAATGTGTTATTCAGAATCATAGAATAGGTGAGGTGGGAAGGGACCTCTGGAGATCATCTAGTTCAACCCCCCTGCTCAAAGCAGGGTCAACTAGAGCAGGTTGCCCAAGACCTTGCCCAGTCAGGCTTCTCCAAGGATGGGAGACTCCACAATCTCACTTGGCAACCTGTTCCAGTGCTTGACTGGTGATGTGTTTTCTTATGTTTAAGTGGAATTTCCTATATTTCAATTTGTGCCCATTGTCCTGCCACTGGGTGCCACTGAGAAGAGTCTGGGGTTGGACTAGATGCCTCAAAGTCTCACTCAAAGATAACCTCACTGGCAAGTGTTCAAGAGTCTGAGATATAAAGGCCCACTACACCTAGCAATGCTGCAGAATATGATATTCAGGGAAGAATGCTGACCTAGCTCCAACAAGCAAAAATAACTTAAAATGCATTAATTCAAGCCTCTCTTTTTCATTCTCTTTCTCATTTTTCAGAGTTCTCTGGTGTATGAAACATACAGAGTGCCAAAGGTAGTTTCAGTCCAGAATTCTAACTACCCAATGACAAAGGGTTCTTTGTGAAATTACTTAAGCAATCCGCACAATAAAATTATTTGCTACTATTAAAATGAAGAAGGCTGGTAAAAAGCAAATGAGCCAAGAGCTTATTTACAGAGTATAGTTTTTTGCAGCAAAAATGACCAGTGGATAAGAAGGAATTGAGATGATAGTTGGAGACTGCAGAGATCAACTGTAAAAATCTGGCTCAGCAGAACTGGGGCTCAGGCAGTCCAAGAGGTACTGCATTCTAAGAAGCCTTTATAGCTCACTCAGCAGCACAAGCGGACTACATTTCACAAGTGGAGATATGCAGAGGCCACTTCTGAGAAGAACATTGGGACTATTTTTCCTTTTTTTTTCCCTACAAATACAAAAATTTATTTAAAAAGCACAAAAATTAGCTGATGTACAATACTGTCTCACATGAAAAATGGCAATAGAAGTATCACGGCAAAACAGACCACAGTCACAAAGGAGAATGTTTAGACTAAGGATACCTTCTGGGGGCTGAAGAACAATTCTGCTGCCTTGCTGTTCTTGTCACAGGCTAGATTTTTTAAATTCAGCAGTTAATGCTGAAAATGGATTAAAAAAAAAGAGAGAGAGACCCATGAGAAGGAAAGTATAGAAAGATGAAGGAAAAAAACTCAAACAAATCTAGTCTCTTGAAACAACTTTGTGAGAGAGGAGTTAACAAAAAAGACAGTCTAATGATGAGAACGTAAAAGGACTTCTTCCATATTCAACTCATGAAATACAGAGTTAGAATATAAAGGTAGGGAGAAACAGATTAAAAAGAGACATTAGTATCATTAAAAGTATACTGATTTTGTATAATGATACAAAAGTATCATTAAAATAAATGAAAATAAAATACAGCTAAATTAAATTACTGAGCACGTGTTACCATGCACACAAAGATAAAAGAGAAAACCTGAAGGCAGAAAAGCACAAGCAAAAAAATCTCAATGCAACATAAAAAACAAGAGCATCCCAAAGAGTCAATCAAAACCAAAGAGGTGAGAGGAATGGTAAGCAGTGTGTCCAGAAGAAGGCAAACATCACGAAGGGCAGTAAAGCAAGGAACTGCATGTCTTTTTCTCTGTTTCACTTTTACACATCGAGCTGCATATTTTATAGATTCTACAAAAAAACTATAGAACCACAAACAGAGGACCCACTAAACAACACAGTGTACAAATGCCTATATGTTGGAATATTCTTTCACATCACAAAGAGGAGGGAAAAGTCTACACTGACATTAAGGTTTATGAAACATCAAGATAATATCAGAGAAAGCTATGAAAATTAAATTTACTCTTTTGGCAGTCATAATTTTCTTCTCTGAACAAACTTGCTTCTGATTACCCAAAAACCAGAAATATATATCAACATACTTTAGCATACAGATGTAGTCACCCAGAGCTACATGAGGGTTCCTTAGAGAAAGCCTTGGACCAATTCTGAGTCACACTATAGGTATACAGTATGGACTAAATCCACATACAAGAGTCTATATCAATGTAAAATTCCAAGGCAAAAGCTGAATAAATTAGTGCTGTCTCAGTCAAAGTATGGAGACACCTTTTTTTAAACTCAAAAATATTTTACTCATAATCCCACTGCAATTATGTTTTATACAGTATATGCAATACAGATTGCTTCATTTACAACAAATATTTTGATAACAATATTGCAGTCAACCAGGTGGAAAAAGTTAGGTGACTGTTCATACTATGCACCTTTGTTTGTTGTTTCTTTAATTACATTTAAAAAAACTCAACAAATATATACTACATAGAAAAAACATGATTCCTTTAAAAAGCATCATTTAAAAGCAGCATTTATTGCAATAACTGAAAGGTAGATGTGGAGATTTAATATATGTTTCAATACTTTGGGACAAAATGGCCCCATATTACTCACCTTGATCTCTTTCATGCCATGTCCGATTCCCAGCAGCTGGTGAGTTTGGTGAAGGATAAAAGTCTCCTGTTGGGCTTGGTTCCATATTCTCATCTATGGAAATAGTTTTGGAACGCTTGCTGTTGAAATAATGAAAGATTCGGTAGTAAATATGATATGCAGCTAGTAGTGGTACATTTGGATTTCAACAATAGTGGTTATTTGGATTTCAACAAGTATTTCAACGGAAAGTAATCCGGGCATAAAAATCAAAAGTTGCAAATTTTAAATCTGACATGTTAAAATATTACATATGTTATATAATAATGACTAATGCAGATATGTGCTTACATTTTTCATATGTCTTTAAATTTTGGATATGGCATGAATGGATGATATGCAAAAACCCCTATAGGTTCTAAGTCTACCAGCATTCAGTTACACAACCAAGGATCTGATTCCTGTGACCTGCTATAAAAAGGTTGTATCATGAGAATGTTAAACACTATAGAGAATCCATGAAAGCAAAATAAAGCATTGAAGGGGTCTTAATAATAAAGTCAGCCATGTATGACTGGAATTTTTCCAAATGTGTCAATAAGGGAAAAAGCGTACTTTACTATACTTCACCAGGTGAAAATTCTAAGCTTTTCAAAGATAGCTACCCTGAAACAAAGACTCTTCATTTTAAATTAGTTTATTTGAAAACAAAAGGCCTCTATTTCAAGCCATGCTATATAAAACAAGACAACATTTCGATATAGTGCGGGAAAGGCAAGTTTCTTCTTAACAATATATACTATATACTATATAACAATATATAACAATATGCTATATAACAATATATACTATATACTATAATATATATATACTTCTTAACAATATATACTGAAGATATTAAGCAGACTGCTAAAAGGAAACCAGGATGAAGGATTCATCCTGTAATTAAATCTTGGAATTAAATCTGGCAAGGGATGTCAAGGACAACAAGAAGGGCTTCTTCAAATACATCAATAGCAAAAGGAAGACTAGGGAAAATGTGGGCCTGCTGCTGAATGTGGCGGGTGCCCTGGTGACGAAGGATATAGAGAAGGCAGAGTTATTGAATGCTGCCTTTGCTTCAGTCTTCACTGCTAAGGCCAGTCCTC